TATTATTATATATTATATACACTAGATTACCAAAAGTATGTGGACACCTGCTCGTTGAACATCTCATTCCAAAATCCTGGGCATTAATATGGAGTTGGTCCCCCCTTTGCTGCTATAACAGCCCCCACTCTTCTGGGAAGGCTTTCCACTAGATGTTGGAACATTGCTGCAGGGACTTGCCACAAGAGCATTAGTGAGGTCGGGCACTGATGTTGCGAGATTAGGCCTGGCTCACAGTCGGCGTTCCAATTCATCCCAAAGGCTTTTCGATGGGGTTGAGGTCTGGGCTCTGTGCAGGAAGTTCTTCCACACTGATCTCGACAAACCATTTCTTTATTGACCTCGCTTTATACACGGGGGCATTGTCATGCTGAAACAGGAAAGGGCCTTCCCCAAACTGTTGCCACAAAGTTGGAAGCGGAAGCACAGAATGGTCTAGAATGTATGCTGTAGCGTTAAGATTTCCCTTCACTGAAACTAAGGGGCCTAGCCCGAACCATGAAAAACAGACCCCAGACCATTATTCCTTCTCCACCAAACTTTACCGTTGGCACTATGCATTGGGGCAGGTAGCGTTCTCCTGGCATCCGCCAAACCCAGAAATGTCAGTCAGACTGCCAGATGGTGAAGTGTGATTCATCACTCCAGAGAACGCGTTTCCAATGCCAGCCAACACTTGGCATTGGGTATGGTAATCTTAGGCTTGTGTGCGGCTGCTCGGCCATGGAAACCCATTTCATGAAGCTCCAGATTAAAAGTTATTGTGCTGATGTTGCTTCCAGAGGTAGTTTGGAACTCGGTAGTGAGTGTTGCAACTGAGGATAGACAATCTTTATGCTCTACGCCAGGGGTGTCAAACTCATTTTAGCTCAGGGGCCACATGGAGGAAAATCTATTCCCAAGTGGGCCGGACCGGAAAAATCATGGTATATATAACTTAAAAACAACAACTTCAGAATGTTTTCTTTGTTTTATTGCGATCAACATACAACATAAAGCTGGAGCCTGAGGACAGTGTGTCCAAAATAGTACAAGCACAACATCACTATTAATCATAAAACACGTCAAGTTTATTTGAAAACTCTAAAGAAAAAGAACACTAACACACAATGCCTCAGTGATTAACAGAACTGTTCCCCAAACAAGTGCAAGAACCACAGAGTCAAGAATAGGTTAAATATACAAATAAAATAAAATCAATTAAAAACAATAGCACATCAACATAAAAACATATAAACATAAATCTGAAAGCGTTGCTCAAACTCCCGTAACAGTCCAGTTATTTTATCTTTGAACCGCTTCATGTCTGCCACATGTTGGGTCGCGCACACATTTTTCAGACAGGGGAAGTGAGCTGCATCACCACCGGCAAGTTGCGTCTCCCACAATGACAGCTTCAACTTGAAAGAACGTATGCTGTCATAATACTGCGTGACAACTTTGTTGCGCCCTTGCAGCTGTTTGTTCAAGTTATTCAGGTGCTCTGTAACATCCACCATAAATGCAAGGTCCGGCATCCATTCTGCGGAATGAAATTCTAACACTGGTTTGCCCCTTTTCTTCCATGAACTGTTCAATTTCTTCTCGTAAATCAAAGAAACGCCTCAGCACAGCACCTCGGCTTAACCATCTTACCTCAGTGTGGTATGGCAGGCCATAGATGTGGTCTTTCTCTCTGAGAAGGCTGTCAAACTGACGGTGATTCAGGCTTCTGGATCGGATGAAATTAACAGTTTGGATGACCACCTTCATGACGTTATCCATCTTTAATGACTTGCAACACAAAGCCTCCTGGTGCAAAATACAGTGAAAAGTCAAAAATCACGTCCTCCATTTGCAGATTGCACTTTGTCACAACGCCTGCTTTTTTCCCGATCATTGAGGGCGCACCATCTGTAGCCAGGCTGACAGCGCGGGACCAGTCCACTCCGACCTTGTCCAGCGCGCAGACGAGTGCGGTAAAAATATCAGCTGCTGTCGTTGTATCTGTCATCGGCACCAACTCCACTAACTCCTCGGTGACGGTCAATGTGTCATCAACTCCGCGGATGAAAAAATGGCCAGTTGTGCAACATCTGTAATGTCCGTGCTTTCATCAATTGCAACCGAAAACGCAATAAATGACTTTACTTTTTGCTTCAACTGGCTGTCCAAATCCACTGAAAGATCGGAAATCCTGTCTGCAACTGTGTTTCTTGTCAGGCTGATATTTGCAAAAGCCTGCCGCTTTTCAGGGCACACAATCTCCGCTGCCTTCATCATGCATGTTTTTACAAATTCACCCTCACTAAATGGTTTTGAAGCCACTGCGATTTCATTAGCAATGAGGTAGCTAGCTTTCACTGCAGCGTCACTGATGTCTCGGCTGTGAGTAAACACAGACTGCTGTTTCTTCAGACCCGCCAACAGTTCATTCACCTTCTCTCATCTCCGCTGTCCTTGAAAGTTGTCATATTTGTCGGCATGAAGACTCACATAGTGGCGACGAAGGTTATATTCTTTCAGCACTGCAACATGCTCTGAACACACCAAACATACAGCTTTCCCATTCAATTCCGTGATTAAATAGGATGACCATTTTTCTTGGAACACTCTGCACTCTGCGTCCACTTTTCTCTTTTTTGACAGAGACATATTGGGGCAATGAGGGTGCCAAAGCACATAATGTTAAAAGTAGAAGCCGTAATAAATATTGCGGGCAAAACAAAGTAGCTCATTGGCTGCACGTGCTTGACCTACTTGCTCTGCCCCGGTATAAACAGTTTGCTTGCTTAACACAATTGCTATTGTGCCATCCAGTGGACGCAATTGGAACAGCAGTTTATTTTATTGAAAAATTGCAGCGCATTTTTATACTTAAAAAAAAAAAGTATAAAAATTGATTTTTTTTCCGAAAATCATCTCGCGGGCCGGATTAAACCCGTTTGCGGGCCTGATCCGGCCCGCGGGCCGTACGTTTGACACCCCTGCTCTACGCGCTTCAGCACTTGGCGGTCCCATTCTGTGAGCTTGTGTGGCCTACCACTTCGCGGCTGAGCCGTTATTGCTCCTAGACGTTTCCACTTCACAATAACAGCACTTACAGTTGACCGGGGCAGACATTTCACGAACTGAGTTCTTGGAAAGGTGGCATCCTATGACGGTGCCACGTTGAACGTCACTGAGCTCTTCAGTAAGGCCATTCTACTGCCAATGTTTGTCAATGGAGATTGCATGGCTGTGTGCTCGATTTTATACACCTGTCAGCAACGGGTGTGGCTGAAATAGCCGAATCCACTAATTTAAAGGGGTGTCCACATACTTTTGTATATATAGTGTATATATGGTGTATATGGTCTTCTGTAGCTCAATTAGTAGAGCGTGGAGCTTGTAACGCCAGGGTAGTGGGTTCGATCCCCGGGACCACCCATACGTAAAAATGTATGCACACATGACTGTAAGTCGTTTTGGATAAAAGCATCTGCTAAATGGCATATTATTTTATATTATGTCAATCTCTCCTGGCTCAAAGTTGAGGAGATAATGACTATTGGTCATAGTTCGGACACTCATTGATATCACACAAGACATGCAATCAGAGGTCTCTTCACAGTCTCCAGGTCCAGAACAGAGGCCGGGAAACACACAGTATAAAAAAGAGCCATGACTAAATGGAACTCTCTGCCACCCCAGGTAACTCAAGCTAGCAATAAAACGATTTCACAGCTATTCTTTCAAAATAATACAGTATTTATTTATTGTAAGACACATATTGATGCAATCAGTCAATGGTGCCACCTGTCAATGATTTTAGACAGTGGAATAATAATGGTTTCTCTGTCCAGATCTGTCTACACTGCGTCTGACTACCTCTACTGAAAAACTACTAGGGGTTGTTCAAAGATGATGCCTATTCTGGTGAAACCTCCCTTCAATTAATACCACATCCTATTTTGTAGATGCAATAGACAGAGGTCAACTAAGTTCCTCCATACATAGTCAACATTAGCCTAATTTAGGTTAACATTTACCAATGTGTATGAGTTCATAGTAAATATCACAACATATCTGCTGATCATTGATTCACATCCATAAATTCATTTTTTTTATTACAATTTACACAATTCCTTTAACTTTTTGATTATTTGTTTTTATTTTCTCTCAGGTCAGTGACTCGGTCCTACTACCGTAACTCAGTGGGGGGCCTGCTGGTGTTTGACCTGACTAACCGCGCCTCCTTTGAGCATGTGCAGGAGTGGCACGCAGAGGTGTGTGAACATGTGCAGCCCCATACTGTGCTGTTTGTGCTTGTGGGCCACAAGAATGACCGGGTGGCCCAGGGAGAGCGGGTGGTAGGCCATAACGAGGCAGAGAAACTGGTAGGCCAGCTGGGGATGCCCTATATCGAGGCGTCGGCTAAGACGGGTCAGTGTGTGACGGAGGCCTTCGAGCTGCTGACCCGCCGGGTGTACCAGGGCCTGTTGAGTGGGGAGGTGCAGCTACAAGAGGGCTGGGACGGGGTGAAGTGCTTGGCTCCACGTGCTTCACTAGTACAGCTACAGAAGACCAGGATCAATAGACAGAAGTGCTGTTCCTGAGTTGGGTCTTTGGACTCGTGATATGGACTTGTGCTGTATTGTCATGTATGCCAAGTCACAATGCTGCCCTTGAAAAACTTGACTTGAGGCTCTTCACCGGATGTGAAGAAATGTTACAAGATAGGCATGACCTATTGTGCCAATTTGCCAGAACATGGAAATAGACTTAACACATGTAAAATACTTGCAAGTGCGTGTACAGGGACTTACTGAAGGAGGTAATTAGTTTGTTCTCCAGAATCAAGAAACTCTATACCAGTGGTATTACAGTTATGTAAATCTAGTCAAATCTCTTTACCCTGAATAGTGATATACTGATGTAATCCATTCATGTAGAAAGTGAACTCAGAAAAACTCAAGGTTCCAACAAATGAGAAAGAACATGACTGAACAGTGAAATAAACACACAAATCAAATGCCAAGTGAAATATGAATCTTGTTTTATTTATGGAATAAAAATAAACTAAAACACTGCCATATAAAGTAAAATAAATGTTACTGCTTCCCCACACATCCCCAAATAAGGACCATTACCCAACGCCATCTCACTGCAGTCTGGCGATACAAGCCATATTTCACATCCTTATTGTTTTGGAATAATAAATCAGTCATTTGTTGTTAATTGGTGACATCTTATGAAAAACAATGTCCTGGGTAATTTTCTAATGAACTATGGAGATGACATCAGATCCCTACAGCAAACAAAAACATAGTGCCATGACAGTATTCTGGAAACGAACTAAATGCAAATGGTGTACATTTCTGATGTTAGATGAAGGGGGTTTGTTTATGTGACAAAAACTAAACACAAAACCTAAACACACAACAGCAAATGCATGCCAGACAAAAGAAAGGGAAAAAAGTGGGAAAGAGTATGGTAGCCACCACCATATTGAAAGTGTGTGTTTGGTGGTTACCCCTTGAACAAAAAAGTAAAGTTGAACAGATAATTCCAAAAACAAAACACTGTCCCAAAACAACACTCTATACCTGAGTGTACATTTCCACAGAATGAAGAGTGTTTGATTTTGGCCAGTCTGTGGTGAAAAGTATTAAAAATAACTAAAGATCAAAATACTTGTGTGATGATGGCACTGACAAATCACACACAAAACCTGGGGGAGATGAAGACGTGGGTGAAAGAATGTCCCCCATTATTATAAATATACACAGTTTTCCCCCTTTGATAGCCTGATGCAAAACCCACACTTTCATTATCTTCAGAGGGTTTGTGCGAGGCTGGTTCCAGGTCTTGCTACTTTTTGGTTGTTTTGCGGATCAATGCCATTCTCTGGATGAGACAAATGAAAAACATGCTCAATCACTATTGCATTTATGTCATTTAGTACAGTGTTTCCCAACCCTGGTCCTCAAGTACCCCCAACAGTACACAGTTTTGTTGTTGCCTTCGACAAACACAACTCATTCAAGTCATTGAGGGCTTGATGATTAGTTGACAAGTTGAAAAAATGTTGCTTTACCCGGGTCAATCTTTTTTTGAACGAATTTTCTGGTAAGGGCTTGTAAAATAAGCATTTCACGGGAAGGCTACCTGGTATTTGGGCATGTGACAAAGTTTGATTTTATTTTTTGGGTTTATACATGATTTAGTGACTTTTATTAAGAGGCCCCTTTCGTTCTTCCAGTGGGCCAATTCAACCTAAAAAATTTTTTTTTTTAAAAACCCCAAAAAACCCCACCAAAAAATTTTTTCCCCGTTGGGAAAAAAATTTTTTTCCCCCCCTTTTTTTTTGTTTTTTTTTAAATTTTTTGAAAATTCAAAAAAGTTTTGGGGGGAATGGGGAAAAGAAAAATTCCCATTTATAAAAAAAGAGCCCCCCTCCCCTGTGGAAAAAAATTTTTAAAAATTTTGGTTTGGGATTAAAAAAAAAAAAAAAAAAAAAAAAAAAAAAAAAAAAAAAAAAAACCCCAAAAAATTTCTTTTGAATTTTTTGCGCTAAGGGGGGAATTTGGCCCCCGGAAGGGTTTTAAAAAAGTGGGTTTTCAAAAAGGGGGGTTTTATTTGGGGGGGGGAAAAAAAAACAGTTAAGGGGGGGTAGTTGAGAGGAAAGGGGAAAAAAAAAGGGGGGGGGGGTTTTTAAATATTTTGGGGAGGGGAAATGTGTGGGGGGGAAATTGGGTTTGGGGGCTAAGGGGGGGCCGGGGGATAAAAAAGGGGGGGACATTAAACGTAAGGGTTTTTTTTTTAAAAATTTTTTTCCCGGGGGGCCCCCCAAAAAACAAAAAATACAAAACCCCCCCCCAAAAAAATTTTTTTTTTATTTAAAAAAAACCCCCACCAAAATTTTTAAAATTTGCCTTGCCCCCCCTTTTAAATGGGTTTTTTTCCCCTTTTTGGGGTTTTACCCCCTTTTTAAAGGGGGGGCCCATTTAGCAGCAAAACAAAACCCCCCTGGGGGTTTAAATTTAAAAATTTTTTTTAACCAGGGGGTTGGGGGTGATTAAAAATTTAAAAAAAATTTTTTTTTTTTGGCCTTCAAACCAAAACAAACTCATTCAATTCGGAGGGTTTGGGAGGATTATTTTTGGACAAGTTAAAAACGGGGTGCTTGGACCAGGGTCAACTCTTTCTTAAACCCCTGAAATTGCGGGTTTAAAGGGTTTGTAAGTAAGCATTTCAGGGAAAGGGTTTCTCACCGGGTTGTATTCGGGCATGGGGCCCAAAATTTTTGATTTGATTTTTGGATTTGTTTTACCCCGGGATTTAGTAGACATTTTATTAAAAAGGGGCCCCAAAAACTTCAGTGCATTCAAAAAGGGTGGTAAGAAAACCCAAACATTCAATTTCGCATTTGCTTTATTGAAATTTTTTAAAAATACTTCCAAAACAAACACAATACCCCAAAAAAACAATAATTATTAATTCATGTACGGGTTGGTGAAAAAGTTTTTGCCCCCTTTTTTTCAAAATTTTTTTTTTTTTATTTTTTGCTTTTTTATACTGAATGTTATCATATCTTCAACAAAAACATAGTATTAGACAAAGGGAACCTGAGTGAACAAACAGCACAACAATTACACACATTTCATAAACCAAGTTATGCAACACCCAATGCCCCTGTGTGAAAAAGTAATTGCCCCCTTACACTCAATAACTGGTTGTGCCACCTCTAGCTGCAACCAAATGCTTCCTGTAGTTGTTGATCAGTCTCACATCGCTGTGGAGGAATTTTGGCCCACTCTTCCATGCAGAACTGCTTTAACTCAGCAACATTTGTGGGTTTTCAAGCATGAACTGCTAATTTCAAGTCCTGCCAAAACATCTCAATTGGGATTAGGTTGAGACTTTGACTAGGCCATTCCAAAACTTCAAATGTGTTGCTTTTTAGTTATTTTCATGTAGACTTGATTGTGTGTTTTGGATCATTGTCTTGCTGCATGACTCAGCTGCGCTTCAGCTCAAAGACGGATGGCCTGACATATAATTATCTGATACAGAGCAGAATTCATGGTTCCTTCTATTAAGGCAAGTCGTCCAGGTCCCGAGGCAGCAAAGCATCCTGAAACTATCACACTACCACCCACCACCATGCTTGACAAGTTCTTACTGTGGAATGCAGGCATAATGGGACCCATGTCATCCAAAAGTTTTGACTCATCTGTCCATAGATCATCCTTCCAATAGTCTTGATGATCTTCCAGGTGCTTTTTGGCAAACTTGAGTAAACCTTTTAGATGAGATTTGGTTGCAGTCATTGCAGCTAAAGGTGGCACAACCAGTTATTGAGTGTAAGGGGGCAATTACTTTTTCACACAGGGGCATTGGGTGTTGCATAACTTTTTTCATTAAATAAATAAAATAAGTATATATTTTTTTGTTATTTGTAAACTCAGGTTCCCTTTATCTAATATTAGGTTTGGTTGAAGATCTGATAACATTCAGTATCAAAAATATGCAAAAATAAAGAAATTCAGAAAGCGGGAAAATACTTTTTCATGACACTGTACATTTCAATTATTGAAAGTTTACCACAATTCATTAGTATAAATGTGAACCCTGGGTGTGATCAAGATGAAAGAGTGACAAACAAACCTGTTTGTGGGCCTCTGTGGTACAAGCCTTCTTATACGGCCGAATCTCATCTGAACCATAGCCAGGAATCCACATGTTCCATTGGCGCTCTGTTGAGGAGTGGCACACAACACAGGGAGTGAGAATAAAAATCAAAGAGAAAATACACTCAACAGGAAATGTTCCATTAAATTCATCCACCTTTTTATATACATATCTTTAAAACTCTAAGCTGCTACACCCATGGCTCTCAGACGCTGTTCATTTTTGCCATAGTAAATTAATCATTCCAGTAATGGAGACAAACACAGGGCTCTACAGTGCGACCATTTTACTTGCATATGCACCAAAATATTTTGCAGTGCGACCTGGAATTTCTATTTAGAAGCACCAGTGACCTAGAAATATTAAGGATTCTACCTTTATTACCTCTAATATTGTGCTCCTAAATTTCTTTGTGTGCGCCAAAATTTTTCTACTTAGTGCTCCTTGTAAAAAAAGGTCAGTGTAGAGCCCTGACTGCAGCGGCTGCTGCGCCAACCATCAGCCCGTATCAGCCTATACTTTTACTCACCCAGGTGTAGCTGGACGTCCTTCACTTCTAAGGTGTTGGACTTGCGATGGCGGGCCAGCTGACAGGCAGCCGTCACCACACTGTCAATGAAGTCATCTGCAATCTGCAGCAGCATCTGAGAGGAAGACAGATGGGGAACCTCAGGTCACAAGTGGTGAGGCTCCAAAACATTGCATGCACTAATCTTGCATTGTGTTTTTTTTGCAAGCTTTCAGTGAAAGACACTTCTGAGCTAGGAAACATACCTCCTCCACATCCTCATCGAGCTGCTCATTGGGATCAATCTCTCTTACTAGGTCCTGCAGCTTCTTTTTACTCAACACCTGAGTGGAGGGGAAACAGGTTGTTAGTCATAGTCAATGGTGCACTAGAAGCAGGTCAGTGCAGTCAAGCAGAGTGGCTACATACTCATTGTACACCCTGAAACTTGGCATCTGGCTAGGGAGATGAACATAGAAAACATGTTTTGACAGAACCAACCAGCACATGAAACTGAAGGATTGGTGTCAATGTATGCAAAGCCAAGTAGGAACTGGACCTTACAGTTTTAGTGAATTCTTTGATTTCTGTTGTGAACAATTCTATTGAAAAACATTACCCAGCTGGAGTATACCAGGGTCGTGTTTATAAGCCACCAAATGGTAGAATCTGAAATGAAACAGGGAGGGCCTTCCTGTCTAATAAGAAACATTCATTTTCTGTCACAAAACTTTTTCCAACATGACCCAGGTTGGTGATGAGGAGATGGATAGGAGGACTCACCTGACTTCCTTCTGGGCTGATTCTGCCGGCAGGGCCAGGTGTGCCCATCACCTTCCCTGGGGCGGCGGCGCTGCTATTGGCCATGCTGGTGGCGAGAGGTGGTGTTGAGGAGGCCTCTGTTTTCACAGTGAAGAAGTTGGAGCGGTTGGACTGTGGTTGGTACTGGGTCATAATCTGCCAGACCTAGGATGTCAGATGGTGGGGCCTCTCTCTGGGTCTGCACTGTCGTCGTAAGGACCAGGTCCGTGAAACTGGAATCAGAAGGGAAAAGTGTGAGAGAAAAAAGCTCCTTGTGCCCTCAATCAACAAGCACACAGAATGCCAGGGTGATGGTAGACTGGAACATGGGATATGACTAGGTCCCTATAAAATAATCACAGAATCCAGACATTAAAACGGAATTTAACAATATTCAAAAATGTATTGAACTTAGTAGGAATGTACTAAATGTATGGAACATATTAGAACAATAATTTGCCCAAGTTAATCATAAGACATGAGCAATATGCATCAGTGATTAGTTTTCCTGCAACTTTTGGAAACGGCACAGGAATGCCCCTGTGTGTGTGCGGTGCTCGCGTATGTCTACACTTTGTGTAGCGGTTACCCTTCTTCTGGTAGAGCTGGAAAGGCTTTCTCAAAAACCTTCTCAATTAAAATGTTAACTACAAAATAGCCTATGCCTGCCTCGCAGAATGATATCATGATTATTTGCATCAATGCAATCACATGAGCGCTACAGAAACATAGCCAACCAAACAATGGTCTCTTGCTGGTGCACACTTGCATTAAAGGATAACATTTACATTTTAGTCATTTAGCAGACGCTCTTATCCAGAGCGACTTACAGTTAGTTTATTTTTCATACTGGCCCCCCTTGGGAATCAAACCCACAACCCTGGCGTTGCAAACGCCATGCTCTACCAACTGAGCTACATCCCTGCCGGCCATTCCCTCCCCTACTCTCCTGATGTAGTTTAAGCATTGTTGTGGACTACAATATTAAAAGTGCAATTTTTGAGCTTGAAACCCTGGAAAACCTTGGAAAAACAGAAACCTGGAAAAACAAAAGAGAAAACATAATTTGGGAAAAATGTCAACAGATCTTATAGGGCCTTAGTCATATCATGACATCTAGGTAGTTAGCTATTTAAATGTCAGACTAGCTAACAAAACCTGGCATGATATTTCTATGGATATTTACTGGCTAGTTAAAAAACAAAAATCACACATTGCAGCTTGCAAACCAATAACATTACACCGTCTGTCAGTGTTACATTATTGCGTATGGGCATATCAACACTCACGTGACAGCTAGCTAGCTGGCTATGTTTGTTGACTAGCTAGCCGGCCGATTCTGGATAAAAATTGATTGAGCACATTGATTGAATGGAATCCGTTATCATGTTGAAAAACTAGTAACAAATGCATCACAACCACAGCTAATTTCATTTAACATCAGTTAGTTAGCAGGCTAACATGGTTTAGCTAGGTAACGTTAGTTAGCTGGCCAATGTTACAGATTTAGCAAAGATTTAGCTTGAAGACACAACAGTCACATTTTCCTTCTACATATAGCAAATAAATACCTTTATATTTCACTCGAAAGTTACATTTGAATGGCAAACCATAAATGCAGCTAGCTTAACCTTAGCCGTCTTGCTAGCTAGTTATTAGCCAGCTAGATACATGCTAACGCAACAACATGGGCAGAATCTCATATACGTCCTCGCTTTGCCTCCTTCTAAAAAACCCATTGGAGGAGAGGGTCAGAAGGGCGGGACCTTAGGCTTTCTCATCCAATTGTTTTTTGAGAAGGAGAGAGGACGCGAGGAACAATTGAGATCTTCCCATAATCATTACGCTGTGCAAGCTAGCTGGCAAAATGTACATGTAATCTCCCAAAGATATATATATATATATATTTAAATACTTACCTGACAAAACAAACACTATCTCCCCATGTTTTGTACTAGCTATTTTAAGTCCACACAACACAAACCCGTCTCTGGCTAGAAAGTCTTGATTTTTTTCTGATCTTCCTTTTTTGAATTACTGTATTTCCGGTCCACCCAAATACGTACTCCTGCCCCCAGTGTCTGATGAGGGAAATGTTCCACAATATGAACGCAATCCCAAAAAATTTATATCACGTGTAGCCTAGTCAATAACCCCACAACTGGTCAATGTGATTGTGTATGGGTACTTTTGGCCATAACCTGTAATTTAATACAAAATAAAAATGATTGGTCTTACGTTTTCTTCACACATCATTTTCTTTACTTTGGGTGTCTGTTTTTTTCAACCACAACACACACTTTTATATCTGTACACAAACATTTGAGCCCCAGATAAAATAGTGTTAAATATAATAGAAATAACTCTATTCTTCACTGAATATTTTCTTCACTTTCCAGTACAAAAATATTCACATTTCAGTGTCATTCAGTTCACTCTGAAAATTCTTTACAAAAATATCATAGTAAAAAATGAAAAATAGTAAGCATTATCTAAACAGATGAGTCAAATGGTGTCACAACTTGATACAAGATAATACACTGTAATCAGTAATTTTGCTGTTTCCAATACATGCTCTTTTTTGTACAGCTCCCGTAAGACAAATATTTAAACTGTATAACAAGTTCATATGACACTTCAATGAGCATTTCAGCTTTCAAATATGTTCAACTTTGATTTGTAATTTATATTGTACTTTTTGTGCCATTTTATTTACGAAATACAGTGGGGGAAAAAAGTATTTAGTCAGCCACCAATTGTGCAAGTTCTCCCACTTAAAAAGATGAGAGAGGCCTGTAATTTTCATCATAGGTACACGTCAACTATGAAAGACAAATTGAGGGAAAAAAATCCAGAAAATCACATTGTAGGATTTTTAATGAATTTATTTGCAAATTATGGTGGAAAATAAGTATTTGGTCACCTACAAACAAGCAAGATTTCTGGCTCTCACAGACCTGTAACTTCTTCTTTAAGAGGCTCCTCTGTCCTCCACTCGTTACCTGTATTAATGGCACCTGTTTGAACTTGTTATCAGTATAAAAGACACCTGTCCACAACCTCAAACAGTCACACTCCAAACTCCACTATGGCCAAGACCAAAGAGCTGTCAAAGGACACCAGAAACAAAATTGTAGACCTGCACCAGGCTGGAAAGACTGAATCTGCAATAGGTAAGCAGCTTGGTTTGAAGAAATCAACTGTGGGAGCAATTATTAGGAAATGGAAGACATACAAGACCACTGATAATCTCCCTCGATCTGGGGCTCCATGCAAGATCTCACCCCGTGGGGTCAAAATGATCACAAGAACGGTGAGCAAAAATCCCAGAACCATACGGGGGGACCTAGTGAATGACCTGCAGAGAGCTGGGACCAAAGTAACAAAGCCTACCATCAATAGCACACTACGCCGCCAAGGACTCAAATCCTGCAGTACAAGACGTGTCCCCCTGCTTAAGCCAGTACATGTCCAGGCCCATCTGAAGTTTGCTAGAGTGCATTTGGATGATCCAGAAGAGGATTGGGAGAATGTCATATGGTCAGATGAAAACAAAATATAACTTTTTGGTAAAAACTCAACTCGTCGTGTTTGGAGGACAAAGAATGCTTAGTTGCATCCAAAGAACACCATACCTACTGTGAAGCATGGGGGTGGAAACATCATGCTTTGGGGCTGTTTTTCTGCAAAGGGACCAGGACGACTGATCCGTGTAAAGGAAAGAATGAATGGGGCCATGTATCGTGAGATTTTGAGTGAAAACCTCCTTCCATTAGCAAGGGCATTGAAGATGAAACATGGCTGGGTCTTTCAGCATGACAATGATCCCAAACACACCGCCCGGGCAACGAAGGAGTGGCTTCGTAAGAAGCATTTCAAGGTCCTGGAGTGGCCTAGCCAGTCTCCAGATCTCAACCCCATAGAAAATCTTTGGAGGGAGTTGAAAGTCCGTGTTGCCCAGCGACAGCCCCAAAACATCACTGCTCTAGAGGGGATCTGCATGGAGGAATGGGCCAAAATACCAGCAACAGTGTGTGAAAACCTTGTGAAGACTTACAGAAAACGTTTGACCTGTGTCATTGCCAACAAAGGGTATATAACAAAGTATTGAGAAACTTTTGTTATTGACCAAATACTTATTTTCCACCATAATTTGCAAATAAATTCATTAAAAATCCTACAATGTGATTTTCTGGATTTTTTTTCCTCAATTTGTCTTTCATAGTTGACGTGTACCTATGATGAAAATTACAGGCCTCTCTCATCTTTTTAAGTGGGAGAACTTGCACAATTGGTGGCTGACTAAATACTTTTTTTCCCCACTGTATATTAGTTAATTGGAATCAATATATAGCCTATTGATGCTAAGCCATTAGACACATTTTCTTGTAAATAACAGGTCATCAATGTTGCATGGTACTGGTCATGAATGGTCCCTGCATTGCCCAATAGGGTGGCCCAAGGAGTGGGAGTGCCAAGCAGAGAGCAGCCAATGGTGCCACCAAGTGCAACCTGGTACACACAGCCAATGAGAAGAGTAAGGCTGTGTGTACCAGGTTGGGCTCTATTCAATCCGTAGCGCGAAATTCAGAGTTACAGCGTGATTTAAATTTAAAGGCAATGTTCCTGTGTTAGCGGAGACTGCATTCACAGTAAACGCTGCACGTGTCGACTCAATCGGAAATTACCTTTACATTTATAGTGCGCAATATGTAACGCTTCCGTGATACAGGTTGAATAGAGACCTAAGTCTGTTCCGTCCCTGGTTGAGCTTGCTGTATTCTGAAAGGCTCCTCATATGTGTGCTGTAGTAGAGAGTTAGAAGACAGGGGCTCAGGCTCAGTGTAGACCACACTGGCCGGGCATGGGCCATTGGCATGGAGAGACGTAGTGCAATAGCCATTGGGCAACTCTCTGTGAGAGGGGCAGTCATACTGGGCCTGGGTTATTGTGGTCCTTGTCCTTGTAGAAACCATAGGCAGCACATGTTTGTTGTTGTGTAGTGTCCCCTGTGGAGTTGCCAGATTGAGATCTGGGGGTTGGTCACTGAATGGGGTGGCATACTCGGGCTCCAGGGGCAGGGGCTCAGTGTGCTCTAGGAGCTTTCCAGGGGTGTCATAGTGGTTGAAAGTGAAGGGGACGGTGTAGCCCAC